TCTCACACACACACACACACACACACACACACTCTCACACTCTCATACACAACACAAATCACACACACACATCTGATTGGATGAGATCATCTGAGGGTCGTTATTTGTCTTGGGTAACGTGCGATGGGCGAGTCGGTGTGAGTCAGCGAGAGAATTACCTCAAACATCAGAGACGCACGTGGTGCTCCGGTTCTAGAGCCGTGGACGTATGCAGAGCTTGAGTTCATCACCTGCTGATGTCAGACGCTCTAATGAGGCTCAGCGACTGCAAACTTGTACAGATTTACATCAGTCCACCAAGAAACAGAATTGGGTTTACAAGGCACCAAGTATGAACTGAGTCACTGGATTTGACAGTTTGAGATCAAATCTTAAGACGTTTGACAGCATGTCCTCGTCTCTTCTTCAGCTCAGTCTTGAGCTCCACCTGTGCACCTGCTATCTTGTATGAAGTCGGTGTGTGTAGACGCACATGTGAATGTATGCATGTTTACATGTGCACGAGTGTGTGTTTGGGTGCTGGTTTGGCCGAAAGACCTAGTCGACCCAAAACACAAGAGTTTTCCAAACCGTAGATGGTCAAAAATGTGAAGGGAGTTCATCAGTGTTTTCCTGCGAGACGCTCTTCTGTGTCAAAGGAGAGAAATGAACCTCAGGGGGCTGAAACATCCAAACAACAGCAGCGCCGGAGGATCATAGACATCTCTAACAAACAGCCCGTCATCGGCTGGTTCGACCAAAGACATTCTCATCTCTGTCTGCAGATATTTGCCTGATTATGCACAGAGAGTTACGGATTACAAGTAACGCGAGTTATGTAATCAGATTACTTTTTTCTCAAGTAACTAGTGAAGTATCACATTACTTTTAAATTTACAAGTAAATATCTGAGTTACTTTTCAAATACGTAACACCAGTTACTTTATTTCCCCATGTATTGACTGACAGCTGTCATGTTGGGATAAATCAGGAGTGAGTGCAGATGTGTTTTGTGTGAACATGATGTTACTGTAGATCTAGACTAAATGTCAGCATGCATTTACTCATCTCACTCGCACAAAAACAGATTCAGTATTCCTCAAAATCAATAAAAACAGTGAAATGCAAACTCAGAATATGCCACAAGCATACAATAATTAAATATGTTAAATTACACAAATATCTTTGATCCCATTTTATTAACCAATGTCTCTGCTCGGCTGGTTTAAGAGAATTTAAGACATATAGATTTGATTGATTAAAGTCGGTCATGTGCGACTGTGCCGTTGATCCTCACAAAGATTCAACAAGCATAAATCACCCGATCAAAGGAGAGTTTAAGTGAGTGAATAAAAATGACATGCTCATACTGAGTCAGGAAAAGGTTACGCAGACATTTCCAAGACCCTGGATCTGAACAGACCCACAGCGAGAGCCGTAATATCGAAACGAAGCAGACTTGGAACGGTGGAGAAACTCCCCAGGAGCGACTGGCCTGCCAAGGTTTCTCCAGAGGCGCAGCCTAAAATCATCCAGACCGTCACAGAAGGTCCTGAAGCCGCGTCCAGAGAACTGCAGGCTACTCTCGGGCCAGCGTTTGGGATGCCACAATCAGAGACGTTTGTCTAATATTTGCCAAGAAGCAGCTAGGTGGTTCCAAGTGTTTTGGGAAGGTGTTCTGTGGAGAGACGAGCCCAGCATGAATCAGTTCGCTTCAGGAGCTGGAAGAACATCCATCCGTGTTCCAGCTGGAGCTGAAGCAAAGCTGGATGATGTGAAACACAAATGCGTATCCACGTGAAAACAGCAGAAAAGAAGCACATTACCCAGTGTTTACAAATGTACAGTGTGAAATCCTGAAACTTGACGACCCTCTTAATTAAAAAGACTCGCTCTTAATTAAAAATAAAGGTTCCAAATGGGTGTTTTCGCAGCGATGCCATAGAAGTACCATTTTTGGTTCCCCTAAAGAACCTTTCAGTGATCAGTTGTTAAAAGAACCACTTTTTCTTAGTGAGAACAACATTTAATCTAAAGAAGCTTTTTGCACAAAATTCCACACTTTTAAAAATAAAGGTTCCAAAAGCTGGTTTTCGCAACAATGCCATAAAAGAACCATTTTTGGTTCCCCAAAGAACCTTTCAGTGATCATTTCTTAAAAGAACCATTTTTTATTGGTGAGAACAACATTTTAATAATCTAATGAGGCCTTTTGCACATTTTATTTTGCAATGGAAACGTTCAACACTCTTAAAAATGAAAGGTTCCAAATGGGTGTTTTCGCAACAATGCCATAGAACCATTTTTGGTTCCCCAAAGAACCTTTCAGTGATCAGTTCTAAAAATAACCTTTTTTTTTTTTTGTTCACAACGCTGTAATATTCTGAAGAACCTTTTGTGCAATGGAAAGGTTAAGGTTACAGGTTCCATCGATGCCTCAACACCTGAGCATTATGGGAGCGGCTTCTGCCGTTTCAAAGGTAAAAACCCAGTTGAAAGTCTCAGTTCTGCCGGCTCTACATGAACCTGAACGCTCTGTGATATCAAAGCAATCCACACGTGATTAATAATGATCGATTCTGTGAGATTTCAGATTCTCCTCTCGTATCGCTGATCGTCTGGGAGTCGGAGCGCTCGATTCCTGGAGTCCAAGACCACGGGAAATGAAAGGAGACACAGTCGCTCCTGAGCCAAAGCAAATAAACAGTGTGAGAGAGTTAGAGTAAGATGCTTTCGCACAGGCACACGCTCCCCCGCCCGTCCCTGCATCCGTCTGCGATCCGCACGAGGCCGGGAACAGGAACAGGAATGGGATGCTGTTATTGGGTCACGTGCAGTGAGAGAGAGGACTGAATTCCTCAAAAGTAGGTCAGTATATTGGAGCATCTGTTTAAGCCATAGTGCCGAGCCTTAGAGAAAGTACACACACAGAAGAATGAGCAGAGCTTTGTCAGTCGGCCTCGAACCCTGCAGCAGACGGGACCCAGAGACACACTGCTGAACAACGATGTTAAGACACCTGACGATATGACAAATTAAACCAAACGCCGCTCGCAAGCCATTTCAACCAAGTGACGTATTTATGAGTGAAATGCGAGATTCGGACTTTATTTTCTCCCTGATGAACTGATTGGATGGTGAAAGCGTCTCTTTATGAAGGTGGTTGATATAAGTAAAGCCACAGCTATATTTTTATACTAATAGAGTTTTATTCTATTTACTATTTACTTATATACTTTCAATTTTTATTTTAATATTAGTTGCATTTTTAGTTATTATGTGTTTTTGTCATTTTTGTTTAAATATAATTTTTTAGGTTTCATTTATTTTTATTTCAGCTTTAGTTTTAGTTAGTAATTTTAGTGCTTTGACTTATTTCAATTAGCTGCCAAGGCAACGTTTCTGATTTTCATTTAGTTTAAGTTTTTCATCTAATAGGTATGTTTTATTATATATATTTTTTCAGATTTATTTTAATTAACAAAAATGTTTTTAATAGTTTTATTTTTAGTTAACAATAACAACCTTCTTTTGAGCATGCAGAATCTTCCATAAAAACAAAACAAAAATTAAACATAACAAGTACTAATAAATGCAAAATGCACATTTCTGTAGCTCAAACATTAGAACGCAGCGCTAGCAATGCCAGTGTCATGGGTTCGATGCTCAAGGAATGCATGAGTTGAAAAAAAAGTATAGGTTTAATGCAATGAAAGTCTCTTTGGATAAAAGTGTCTGCCAAATGCATAAATGTAAAAATATAAAATCAACTCCACTTACCTGTAACACTGCAAACCTGCAGCTCTAAACTTTGTTTTTATTTTTAAATTCAGCTAAGACGTTGTGATGTATTTTTCTTCTAGTCACACAAGAATCTTCATGTGATACGCGTCCGCAGGTCCGAGTTCACCAAACTTGAACTGTGCAGTGCATGAAAAGTATTAAATTTGCAGTGTGTATGAATGGAGGTCAGTGGGATGACCAAGCATCAGCTGGAGTGATTGCATTTCGATGAAAGATTATAAAGAAAAACATTTGTTAAGAACACACTGATGAGATCAAGAGTATGTCTTGAGAAAGTAAATGGTGTTTGTTTCATGTTGACTTCAGTCTGCATTCCTTACAGATGATTGTTTCTGATGCACAGAAAGCACATGAGCGGCTCGGGGGTGCGGCTCGGGTTTCTCTCTCAGGCTGCACTCTGTTGGGTTGAGATGCAGACGCAAACACCCGTGTCAGGATGCAACAGCTCATTCTACATTCACTAACAACGTTACATTAGTTTTGCATTACTTTTTAAATCTGGGCAGGGCTTGCTTGCTTTGTTTTTAATATAAAAAGTTCTATTTTTGGCAAACGTAAAAGCCCTATCACCCCCAAATGTGAAATAAATTATCGAATTTATCTAAAGTCATTTTTTGCATATTGAAATGTTTCATCAAAGGTCAGCAGCAGAGACATTGGTTAATAAAATGGAATTAAATACATAAAGGATATTTGTATTACTTAACATTTAATTGTTGCAGGTTTGCATCATATTCTGAGTTTGCTTTTTACTTTTTTTTAATTGATTTTGAGAAATACTGAATCTGTTTTTGTGCGAGTGAGATGAGTAAATGCATGCTGACATTTAGTCTAGATCTACAGTAACATCATGTTCACACAAAACACATCTGCACTCACTCCTGATTTATCCCAACATGACAGCTGTCAGTCAATACATGGGGAAATAAAGTAACTGGCCTTACTTATTTGAAAAAGTAACTCAGATATTTACTTGTAAACTAAAAAGTAATTACTTTACTAGTTACTTGAAACAAGTAATCTGAACACATAACTAACATTACTTATTTGAAAAAGTAACTCCGATATTTTCTTGTAAACTTAAATGTAATGCGTTACTTTACTAGTTACTAGGAAAAAGTCACCTGATTAAGTAACGCGCGTTACTTAATCAGGTGACTTTTTCCTAGTAACTAGTAAAGTAACGCATTACAAGTAACGCGAGTTACGTAATCAGGTTACTTTTTCCAAGTAACTAGTAAAGTAACGCATTACAAGTAACGCGAGTTACGTAATCAGGTTACTTTTTCCAAGTAACTAGTAAAGTAACGCATTACAAGTAACGCGAGTTACGTAATCAGGTTACTTTTTCCAAGTAACTAGTAAAGTAATGCATTACTTTACTAGTTACTAGTCTGATTACGTAACTCGCGTTACTTGTAATGCGTTACCCCCAACACTGTTCACATGGCTCTTCAGAAAATGCCATGGTCCAAAAAGTCTGCTTTTGCAAGTGAGACCACATGCTTCTCCAGCGCTTGGTTTGAATTGTGTATTGTGCAGCACGTCTGGAGGGTAAAAGTCATAAACTGTCTCCCATGAGCCCCCTCTCTCTCATTGTGCATTGTTCGTGTTCTCATTACACGAGTCAAGCTGCTGCTGCAGAAGTATGAGAAGCTCAGAGCCTGTCAGCAAGAGAAAGTTGAAAAAGCACGCTTCCCGACGCAATTCATTTACCACAAAGCCCTCCTTTTAAGGTGTTGTGAAAGTACCATGGTACTATATCAGTGGTATTTATACGGCATCTCATCTTAAAGTTATAGTGACATCTTTGTGTACCTTGAATATGTTATTAGCTCCTCATACTTTTGTATAAAATCTGTTCATCTCGAGCTGATTTTCGGCTCAATTCGCGCGAGGACAGAGGGAGGGTTGGATGAGATTTGAGTGGCGCAGCGGAATGAGCGCTGGTGCAGTAACGCAGCCGCTGCGCTTTGAGTTGCACCTCTGAGCTCTTTTTCCTCACTCTGGCTATTTTTACCAGGCACTTTACAGTCTGCGTCAGTGCGCACTTACTGGGGGAGACTTCTTCTTCATCTTCTTCATCATCTGCTGGAGGTACAGAACTTTCTTTCCCTTAGTTTTACTTTCTCCTGAAGTGTCGTGTTCTCCTTTGCTTTGCACTGACGCCGCTTTCTTCTTCACCGAGTTTGTGTTCTTGTCAGTTTTGCTATTAATGCGAGCTGTTGGTCGTGCAGCGGGAGCACGCGCAGAATGAGGCGGCTGCTCTTGCTCGTGTCGCTGTGTGTATCGGCGCAGGCGCAGACGCAGACGCAGACGCAGACGCTGGACGCAGACGCAGACGCGGAGCAGCCGAGAGCGAACCGAGCGAAGCGGCTCGGCGGCGGGCAGGACGTGCTGAAGGGGTAACGCATCTCTGCATCACTGAAGAACACACATTCACTCCAAACGCCAGGGTAAACCTGCCACTCACCGCTCCAGGGCCCAGGGCCCGGGGCCCGGGAACTATAGTGCCGCAGCATTAATGAGAGCTTGTGCTGCTTTCTCAGGTTTCTTGATTGTTTGTTTTGCAACATCTCGAATCTTCGAAGTGTTCATTTAGATGATCCTCACAAAACAATAAACATTCAATTACAGAAGGGGAAAAACCATCTGTGCACTAAAGTCGTGGAACCTGTGGTTTTTATCACACCGTTTCTCTCTCGCAGTTATGAGAAAATTGACATAAACTCAGAATTCTGTTTTTTCCCCACACAATGTTAAATTTATATCTCTCAATTCTGACTTCTTTCTCAGAATGCAGAGTTTAAATCTTGCAATTCTTTTTTTTTTTCTGCCACAGAATAAACAATAAAAAAGATAACCGTGACTTTTTATCTCACAATTCTGACTTTTTTCTCTCAATAATTTGGTTATATCTCATATTTGAGACTTTTCTCGCAATTCTGAGTTTATATCGCACAGTTCAGAAATGTGAGAGAACTTTTTTTTTTCAATTTTAATTGAGTAGCATTTACATCGTGGCAGAAACGTAACAAAAACCAAACAAACAAAAAATATAGAAAAGAGCATAAACAATAAACGGTAACAATAAGGTTCCATTAGTACATGATGAACAAACCATGAACAGTACATTTATTAATCTTTGTTGAAAATACAGTCGTTCATTGTTAGTTCATTTTAATTCACCGTGCATTAACTAAAGTTAACAAGCACAACTTTTGATTTTAATAATGCATTAGTAAATGTTGAAAAACATGAACTAAGATGAATAAATGCTGTAGAAGTGTTGTTCATGCTTAGTTCATGTGAACATATGTAGTTGATAACTAATGAACCTTATTGTAAAGTGTTACCCAATAAACAATGAAAAAATTAATCAGGAAATGCAAGAAAAATAAAGTAAGCAGGGCATAAGAATTACTTTTTATATATATTTTTTTGTATTTATGCTCTTTGTTTTTACTCCTACACTGAAAAAAAAACTGCTGCCCAGGGCCCGGGGCCCGGGAACTATAGTGCCGCAGCATTAATGAGAGCTTGTGCTGCTTTCTCAGGTTTCTTGATTGTTTGTTTTGCAACATCTCGAATCTTCGAAGTGTTCATTTAGATGATCCTCACAAAACAATAAACATTCAATTACAGAAGGGGAAAAACCATCTGTGCACTAAAGTCGTGGAACCTGTGGTTTTTATCACACCGTTTCTCTCTCGCAGTTATGAGAAAATTGACATAAACTCAGAATTCTGTTTTTTCCCCACACAATGTTAAATTTATATCTCTCAATTCTGACTTCTTTCTCAGAATGCAGAGTTTAAATCTTGCAATTCTTTTTTTTTTTCTGCCACAGAATAAACAATAAAAAAGATAACCGTGACTTTTTATCTCACAATTCTGACTTTTTTCTCTCAATAATTTGGTTATATCTCATATTTGAGACTTTTCTCGCAATTCTGAGTTTATATCGCACAGTTCAGAAATGTGAGAGAACTTTTTTTTTTCAATTTTAATTGAGTAGCATTTACATCGTGGCAGAAACGTAACAAAAACCAAACAAACAAAAAATATAGAAAAGAGCATAAACAATAAACGGTAACAATAAGGTTCCATTAGTACATGATGAACAAACCATGAACAGTACATTTATTAATCTTTGTTGAAAATACAGTCGTTCATTGTTAGTTCATTTTAATTCACCGTGCATTAACTAAAGTTAACAAGCACAACTTTTGATTTTAATAATGCATTAGTAAATGTTGAAAAACATGAACTAAGATGAATAAATGCTGTAGAAGTGTTGTTCATGCTTAGTTCATGTGAACATATGTAGTTGATAACTAATGAACCTTATTGTAAAGTGTTACCCAATAAACAATGAAAAAATTAATCAGGAAATGCAAGAAAAATAAAGTAAGCAGGGCATAAGAATTACTTTTTATATATATTTTTTTGTATTTATGCTCTTTGTTTTTACTCCTACACTGAAAAAAAAACTGCTGGTGAAACAACTTTCAGACATTGCTAGTAAATTTCACAAATAAGTAGTTCAGTTTGTACTGTAGAGAAGCTTGAGAAAGGCTAGTCTGAATACTTACAACACAGTTTAACAAGCTGTAAGTTTGAAGAATTGAAGGTGAAGTTTTTAAAGCCATGTCACCTGTAAGATTAGTTCGGTTGATATGAAACATTTTATAGAGACGGGTAACTAATTGGATTAAATGTGACATTTTGGAGTACCTTTAGAAAGACTGAAATGGTATTTTCTTGTACAGCATACTCTAGCATCCCACGCTCATTTTATTCTATGTATAGAGAGTTTCACACATGAAGTTTAAATGTGAATTTGACCCGTTGCTCGGTTAAGTTTTGCCGAACTCTTCCCGCAGGCCGAATGTGTGTGGATCCCGTCATCAAGCGTACTGCTGTCCCGGATGGAAGACCTTGACCGGAGGGAACCAGTGCATCGTCCGTAAGTCCTCATGCACTTACTGTTTGCTGTGTTCTGGTCCAGCACGAGCAAATGGACACGGTCTGTCAGCACGAGTGTGTTTACAGCGGAGGGCGGGGGCACTGGATGATTGTTCTCTGCTTTCATCCTGTAACTGAATAGATTGGCAGCGCTCAGGAAGGCTGTTGTGGTGCTCCGCCGTCTCTCAGGCGCGCGGTGGGGGTGGGGGGGGGTGATGTTGTTTACATGTGAAGGTCAGGCACGCTAAAGTCTCTCTGACCTCCTGACCTCTCACTGACCGCGCTTAACAAGAACATTCCGGGTTTGGACGCATTCCGGTTATATGTGCATCGTGTAATCGCATTAATCTGATTAAGCCAGACAGCTGGCATATGCCTCGATGAACTGGAAGTCTGTCTCATGGAAAGACCTGAATCTGCAGACTTTGATTGTCTGGGATGGATTTAAACATGTTAGTGCATATATGTGACCCTGGAGCACAAAACCAGTCATAAGGGTCAATTTTGTGAAATTGAGAAGTATGCATCAGCTGAAAGCTGAATAAATAAGCTTTCCATTGATGTATGGTTTGTTAGGAGAGGACAATATTTGAAAATCTGGAATCTGAGGGTGCAAAAAAATCTAAATATTGAGAAAATCATCTTTAAAGTTGTCCAAATGAAGTTCTTAGCAATGCATATTACTAATCAAACATTAGTGTTGATATATTTACGGTAGGAGATTTACTAAATATCTTCATGGAACATGATCTTTACTTAATATCCTAATGATTTTTGGCATAAAAGAGAAATGTATAATTGTGACCCATACAATGTATTGTTGGCTATTGCTACAAATATCCCCCAGCGACTTAACACTGCTTTTGTGCTGCAGAGACACATATAAGAAACAACCTGGGAAGGGATGTGCAGAACGTTCAGAATATCACCTGTCTACTGACACCTGTGAAGGTCAAGCAATCAATAAATCGCAGTCAGTCGTTGTTTTTGCAATCCTCAGCTATTTGTCGGAGCTCCTGCGGAGACGGCTTCTGCTCCAGACCCAACATGTGCACCTGTCCGAGCGGCCAGATCGAGCCCACCTGCGGATCCAAATCAGGTAATTCAGTGCATCTGCCACTCCTCTCCATTCAGGAGTGTGTCCGTCACACAGCTGGAGTCAGAGAGCAGCTGAAAGTCACATGACCATCTTGTTCTGCTTCCTGTTTCCTGAGTGTTTTGATCAGTCCAGCCAGCTTTCATTTCTGATGTATTTGATGTCTGTGTGTAGATGGTAACCTTCATTCTGTGAGGTATCCACTGTCAGCAGCAGTCCACTGATGGAGGGTCAGAGTGACAGATGTCTTATATACATCTCACATAATTTAATGTATTCATTTTATTTGTTTCAATTTCTTCAGTTTTTATTTTTTTAATTTCTGATGTAATTAGCCATATTTTGCATTTAATAAAAGCATTAAAAAACGTTATTATACTTTATTATCGTTATGAAGCATGGAGTTTTAAAGTGTTCTTTTTATTACTATTTTTATACTGACGATGCATGTTTTTTAAATTTGTTTATTTTTGATATAGTTACGATGCATGCATTTTTAAAATGTTTTCTTTTTATGACCATTTTTATACTTACGATGCATGCATTTTGAATTTATTTCTGTTTTTTATGACTATTTTTATACTTATGATGCATGCATTTTTCAAATGTCTTCTTTTTATGACTATTTGTATAGTTATGATGCATGCATTTAAAAAAAATAAAAATTTTATGAACATTTTTATACTTCCGTTGCATGCATTTCGAATTTATTTCTGTTTTTATGACTATTTTTATACTTATGATGCATGCATTATCAAAATGTTTTCTTTGACTTTTTTATTTATTTTTTATGTATAGCACTTTGAATTACCATTGTGTATCAAATGTTCTATATAAATAAACTTGCCTTAGTGAATATGAATTTAACAAATATTTTGCATACATTTCATAAACATTTTCATAATTTGTTTTCATAAGAATATTTGAAATCAAACACTGTGCATGACTGTATTTTTGGGGCAGAATTATGCACTGATGTCTGTCAGTAGGATAATCTCAAAATGGACAAATAACGACCCGACTGATTGCAGCAAATGCAGATCTCGCAAGAGTTTTACAGAATACGGTTTGGCAGTTTAACACGAATATGTTGAAAGTTGGTCATCTGTTTAGGGTGTTGAGAATAATAGTTTAGTGTCCCAGTCGTCTCAGATTCTTGCGGTTGTTTTACTGCCGTGATTGTGAATGACAAATATTGTGAATATTAGCTGTGTCTGGATGGGTGTGTGATTTGGAGAGTGTCCACAGTCAACAGGCCTCACCCGCCGCTCCAGCTCCTCACTGGATCTCTCCACGGGGAGGAGACGCTCGTGTGTGTGTGTGTGTGTGTGTGTGTGTGTGAGTGTGAGTGTGAGTGTGAGTGTGAGTGTG